ATGGATGCATGGATGAAATGGATGGATGGATGGACAGACGGATGGTTGGAATGGATAGATGGATGGAATGGATGAATAAATGGATGGTTGGAATGGATGGATGGATGGATGGATGGATGGATGGATAGATGGAATGGATGGATGGACGGACAGATGGATGGATGGAATGGATGGATGGATGGATGGAATGGATGGATGGATGGACAGACGAATGGATGGATGGATGGATGGATGGAATGGAAGGGATGGATGGATGGATGGAGGGATGGATGAAATGGATGGATGGATGGACAGATGGATGGATGGAATGGATGGACGGATGGATAGATGGAATGGATGGATGGATGGATGGTTGGAATGGATGGATGGATGGATGGATGGAATGGAAGGAACGGATGGATGGAAGGATAGATGAATGAATGAAGAGAATGAATGAGTGAATGAATGGGCCCTCTGACTGTGCAGCTGAAATGGCCTCAAGGGCAGATTCTGCTTCTAACTCACTCTGTTAAGTCCCTTCCCTTTCCCAACCTTAGTTTCCCATCTGTAAAATGAGGCCATGGAATTAGACATCCTCTAAGCTCCTTCCAACTCTCTCGCCCTTCAGCCATTGGCACGGGGTGAGGAATTCTGAGCTTTTGGACAAACAGACAGTGTGACTTGGATGGTTTTGCTATGATTTGATTCGGGGGCTAGACCCTTCCTATCTCTCCCTCGAGTGAAGAGCAGAGAGGGAGGAGGGCAGGCTGGTGAACTTCTGAAATGTTTAAAGTGATGCTTGTAAGCTGAGTGTGGAGATCTGAAGTCAGACAGTTCAGGGTTTGAATCCGAACTTTGCCTCCTCCTGGCTGTGTGACCTTGGGCAAGTGACTTAACCTCTCTGCACTTAGTTTCCTCATCTATAAATAGGGATTGTAATCATATAACTTGTTGTATTGTGGAAAGGGTTAAATGAGATGACAAGCACTTAGCACAGTGTCTGGCGCTCCATAGCAGGTACTCCCTAAACAGCAGCGGACCCCCCGAGGCCAGCTTCCTTTTCCCCCATTGCCTGTGAGATTGGTTCCCAGGAAATCTTACAGCCAAACCTAGACGAGGAGTGACAGAGAAAATTGTGAAGTTGGTTCTGCCAGACTCTTCACTGCTCACAATGAGAGAGTCCCTCCCTCCCAGGCTATCTGTGTAGAAGCTGTTAAACATGACCAGGGTTGTGGGAGAGAGGGAGGGGAGGTGTCATCACAGCGGACTTCACAGAGGAGGTGGTATTTGAGGTATATCTCAGAGAATGAGACAGAACGATAGCTGAACCACACGACCATCCCTCAGACAAAAGGGAAGTGCCAGATGCCAAACCATGGCCCTGGGCAAGGCAGGTTTAGTGGGTCAGCCACGAGATGGGTCCACGTTCCCCAAGGCCGCCCAGGTTCAGTGGTTTACTAGGTGGCCTCACGGGACACAGCGCATGGCCAGACTTACGGCTATGATCTATGGCAGCGGAAGGACTCAAAGCAAAATCAGCAAAGGCAGCTGGGGCGAAGTCCAGAGGAAACCAGGTGCCTCTTCCCAGAGTCCTCTCCCAGCGGAGTCACGCAGGACACGCTCCCATGACTTAGGGTGGGGAGCCCGCCCCGAGGCCGAGCTCCCAGATATCAGCCAAGGATCAACTTTGCAAGCAAGACTTTTCCTTCCTTCCTTCCTTCCTTTCTTTCTCTTTCCCTTTCTCTCTTTCTTTCTCTTCCTTCCTTCCTCTCTCTCTCTCTCTCTCTCTTTTTTTCTTTCAAGAGAATCTCACTCTGTCACCAGGCTGGAGTGCAGTGGCATGATCTTGGCTCACTGCAACCTCTGCTTCCCAGGTTCAGGCAATTCTCCTGCCTCAACCTCCCAAGTAGCTGGGATTACAGGAGCCCGCCACCACGCCTGGCTAATTTTTGTATTTTCAGTAGAGACGAGGTTTCACCATGTGGGCCAGGCTGGTCTCACTTTCCTGCAAGCAGGGCTTTCTAAAGACAGCAGTCTGTGGCCTGCAGTGTGAAGCTTCTCTGCGCAGGGAATTATACCTTTCTCCACATTTCTAATTTTAAAATGACAGAGGACGTGGTTCGTTGTGCCTCAGGCCCAAAGCAGTTAAGAAAAATCTAGTTGGCCCAGAACGATGGCTCACACCTGTAATCCCAGCACTTTGGGAGGCTGAGATGGGCAGATCACGAGGCCAGGAGTTTGAGACCAGCCTGAACAACATAGTCAAACCCTGTCTCTACTAAAAAATATACAAAAAATTAGCTGGGTGTGGTGGTGGGCACCTGTAATCCCAGCTACTTGGGAGGCTGAGGCGAGAGAATGGCTTGAACCCAGGAGGCAGAGGTTGCAGTGAGCCAAGATCGCGCCACGGCACTCCAGCCCAGGTGACAGCAAGGCACAAAAAAAAAAAAAAAAAGAAAAGAAAAGAAAAATCTAGTTTTCCATGGAAATAATTGTAACAAGTTTTCCAGAAGATAACCGTGAGTTATACAAGGGTGGGGGAAGCACTGGGGAGAAGCAGTGGTGGGGTGGGGTTCAAAAGTCCTGAGCACACTAGACTGGGACTTCATAGGCCTGGCTTCTGGGCCTGAATTGGCACTCACTCAAGTTCCAACTTGGTCAAGTGTTTCCCGGAAATATGCCTCAGTTTTCCGTCCGAGGAAATGACAGCATTGGATTTCTTCTGTATCAGCAAGCTTTGGCTGCATAACGAAGCACCCCAAAAGTTGTTGACTTAAACAACAAAAATGAATTATTTCCCACAGGGCTATGGGTCAGCAGTTTGGGTGAGACTCAGCTGAATGGTTCTTCTTCTGGTGTCCTGTGGCCTCCCTGGTAAGGCAGCAACCAGGGCGCAGCCAGGACAGCCCGCCTGCTTCCCTGTGGTCCTCCCTCTTCCAACAGGCTAGCCCAGGCTTGTTCTCATGGCAGCCGGACAGGGAGCTGACAGCAAGGGCAGGAGCTGCAAGGCCTTTTAAGGCTCAGCCTCGGCCAGGTGCAGTGGCTCATGCCTGTAATCTCAGCACTTTGGGAGGCTGAGGCAGGCGGATCATGAGGTCAGGAGTTCAAGACCAGTCTGACCCACATGGTGAAACCCCATGTCTACTAAAAATACAAAAATTAGCCAGGCGTGGTGGTGGGCACCTTCAATCCCAGCTACTCGGGAGGCTGAGGCAGGAGAATTGCTTGAACCTGGGAGGCGGAGGTTGCAGTGAGCCGAGATCACGCCACTGCACTCCAGCCTGGGCGACAGAGCGAGAATCCATCTCAAAAAAAAAAAAAAAAAGCTCAGCCTTGAACATCACAGAACATCATTTCTGCCACATGCTATTGGTCAAAGAGGCGCCGAAGGCCAGCTCAGCTTCCAAGGAAGGAGAAATAGACTTCGCCCCTTGACCACAGGGGAGGCGGCATAGTGAAAGGAGATGAACTTGCAGCTAGCGTTCACATCCACCACATGATCTCCACCATGTTCCCTTCATTCATTCATTCATTTCACACTTGCACACCCTCTATGTCATCAGCATTTTACCAGATACCAGAGCACAAAAGGTAACCTTGCCCTCATGTGGCCTGCAGAGTCATGGCGAAACAGATAAATAAACCTACATGGGCCATGAAGTTACAGGGAATTCACATTTATTTCATAGCTGTTTTTTTAAAGCACAGCTTTTTCTAGAAAGGATTTGAACCAACCTGCCCGAAAAGGCACAAGCAATAAAATGATGAATTTTAACCAAAGAAGAAAATTGAAGTAAAAGGAGAAAGTGTTTATTGAGCACCTACTATGTCCCGAGCATCTCCGACACATCCTCTCACTCCATTGTTTCCAAATCCCCGAGTTAGTGTTATTCCCCTTTCATAGATAAGGAGGCAAGGGGCAGTGGCTCACGCCTGTAATCCTAGCATTTTGGGAGGCCACGGCGGGTGGATCATGAGGTCAGGAAATCGACACCATCCTGGCTAACATGTTGA